GATAGATTGCTAAGTAATATTTACATAGTTTTCATTTGTAATCGCATTGTAAGGATAATATTTTTTTGCAATAAAATAAATTTTGATTTATCTTATTTATATTTCCTTGCGATGGATTTTATGAAAATTGGTATTTGAATAGTTCTATTGTTAGCAATATTGTGAATGGATTTGATTCTTAGTTATGTTATTTGTGGTAATGTCAGAAGTTTACCAAATGAGGAAAGTTTCTCATCACCCAAGTTCCAATAGGACAGAAAATTGGAATCATGCAACTGGCATTGTGTGATGAATGAGAACCTTCGTATTTGGAAAACTGAGACTAATTCCTTGTTCACATAAGTATGTGAGTCAGGTGAAGGACTAGGAGATCTGGTACACAATGTTGTACACTGGTCAAGTCCACCACAAAGAACGATAAGTTTATTCGTCATGATTTACTAAAAGTCTAGTAAACATGATTATGCTTACAAGAATAAGTGTAATTCTGAATTATTGAAAAGCTTCAATGAATGACAGAACGAATAAGAAGAATCAATGAAGGCAGAAAGATAAAAGGTTCTCCAATCTAAGAAGAAGGGAGAGTACTTTTGTATCGTGTTTTATGATCGTCTTAAGAACCATATTACAATTCATCCTCTAAGGATACCTTAGTGCACTAGTTTGGCTAAGAAGAGGAATGGTGAATTGTAAAAATGGTTAAGAAGATGTATTGTACTTCGTTCCAATATCAAGTCTTAGAGTCATACTCCAAGACTATGAATTGAGTGACATAATCTTAAGTAGGAATGTTCTATATTTGCACATTTTGGTAAGTTGTGATGTCTTGAATAAGACAAAGATCAACTACAACCAAATTGTGTGTAGGTTTGTCTTGATAAAGACACACACTGACTCTTGAATATTTGTTTTGTCAAGAAATGTCTCTTGATAAGAGAATCTTATATGTCAAGAGGTCAGTGGGAGTCTAAAGATCTTGGAAAGTTTCAAGAACAAATCAAGAAGTAAATCTCTTAATCACTAGCACACGACTTGAGGATTGTAACCTATCATGTTGACAAAATTTTATTTCTGTGCCAATCCAGTTGAGTGATTATGCATATGAGTTCTACGAGTTCTCAATTGAATGCATAAGAGCAAACACCTTGATCAATGAAAGTACATTGACTGGCATAGGTGAGCTGCTAAATAACTTGGAAGCAATGGTGGGACTCTTGATGGCAAGAAATTAAGAATGAACAAGTTCTGTCCATAAGAGGTTGAATTTGTCAGAAACATTTTCTTACGATTATGCTTATGACAAATTTGCATGGATAGGAACACATGCACCATAAAATCTAAGTGTCATAAGGTTTCTCTCCTTCATGAAAATGATTGTGAGGAAACGCTTTCACTAAGAGAGATTTTAAGGAGATAGCGATTATGTAAATTGCATTCTCAAATTCGATTATGATTACGGCATCCCTTTTCATAGTTCGAATTGTGAGATTTGGCAATTAGTTTGAACAATCAAGACTTATTGCTATAAGTTCTGGAATTGTTTAGACAGACATGTGAGCTGTCTAAAGTAGGGTGTATGAGTTTGAGATGCTTAGATAAAAGCTTATCAAAACATATCGTATTAGAAACAATGAACTTTGGAAGTCAATAAGTATTGTTTTCTAGAAGTTTAGCTGGTTTCTGAATACGTGTCAAAGCTAGTGGGAGCATAAATGTTATGCTAGTATGGATATAATCATCATGTTAGTGGGAGCATGATTATTATTGCAATTTAGCAATATTAATTATAGAAAACAAAAGTTTCACTTTGCAAAGTTGCATAGGTTGAAAAGTTGTTTTGCTATAATTAAGGGAGAGAATGTTATACTTCGTTTCAAATCTAAAGGTTTAGATCGAGCAATTTTACTCAAATTTAGTCAAAAAGATATACGGATGTTATGTTGAAAGGATTCAACGTAAGAGAATTCTATATATGGAAATATTTGTTGCGTTCTCACACTCGATTATGATTACGGCATCCCTTTTCATAGTTCGAATCGTGAGAACATGGCAAATAGAAATATTATAGCAAAAGACTGGTAAAGTATCATATCATTGTAATATTCGACCGTTCTAAAAATTTTCGAATGCCTAGGGCATTAAGAGGGAAAGATGACTAGAATCGGATTTGACTAAATTAGTTAAACAACTGTCAAGGATAATCTAAAGTTCGCCAAGGATTGGTCGCTTGAGAACAGTTGGAAGTATAGTAATGGAAGGACCATATTGACATTATTATTATTAGATATGATTCTATTACTAACGAGTTGTCATATGGTAAATATGGAAATGTTTCCTTATTGGGAGTTAGACGTTAAGAGTTTATGTGTAGATTAGAAAAACTTTTATGCAAGAAGGATGTTCAAAGGAATGTACTTTGAATGTGAGACTTCACGTCTATGGAATTGTCTTGTAACAATCTCCACTAGAGCATTTTGTAATTTCATTGGCCGAGTCTTGGTGACTTTTGTGCCATGACATTACGAAAGGACTGTTGCATAAAGTGTTAGAATCTAACATATTCTATAAGTGGCAAGAATTTGGTATTCTTACACTTGTGGTAAGGATTGGGAATTGTAAAATGAGTGTGATTGAAAATGTTATTCAATTATACTATTTCACAGAGCAAGGACCATAAGTAAACATAGTGTGCATGCTAAGAGCATGGGACAATTGTCGTTATAATTCAAGTAAGAAGTTGATTAACCGAAACAACAAATAATGAGTAATCAATATGGTGATTAAATAAAAGGTGTTTTATTTATACTCAAAAGTTTGGGGCCATATAAGATTAGTATTATTCTTGTGTTTCAATTTGCATGTTTTGACTTCCTAAATAATTGAGTTATTTAAGAATAATCGAATTATTTGAACGTTCCACAGTCGCTCATACTTTGGGAGTAGGTATGAAAGAAGATTGTCATGAATTGGTGTGTAGATTGTCTAAAGTGTATTAGACATAGCAAAAGTTTGCTACAACGTTCATGAGTGCTTACGAATATGACTTGAGCATTGGATTAAACCCACACTCACTTGGACCGCTTCATGGATTTTATCACGAGTGATTGGTGAGACGATAATATCTTATATTCTTAAAACCGAGATGTGTGAGTTGTATCTTGCGAGTTGGTTATACATTGATAATATGTAAACGCACCAGTAACTTGGTGTTATAAAACGTATTATTGTGTGTGATTCGGTTAGTAAGTACAAGCGAGCATTGAGTCGAAGTTTATCCGTTCCTTTTACCCAATGTGGGATAAAAGCGATATCTGTGGGCCCCTCGATGATTTAGTGATGACAAAGGAAAGTGCTCAGCCGGGCCAGGGCTAATTTGATTTGTTCAATTAGTCAGTCGTCATAAATCAGAAATCGGGAAACAACACATAGACTGAGAGAATGATTTCAATCCATGTCTCACGTCTATACGATATCTAGAATGGAGGAATATATGATCCTTTGTCTAAAGGACGCGTTTCTGATAAGATCAGAGTTGACAGCGGCTTTTGAAAGCTACGATTGCGGATCAGGATCTGAAGTCATACGCAGAATAGTTATTAGACTTATCCAAGTGGGAGACTGTTGGATTAGTGTCTAAGTCCATAACTATTTTGGTATGTACTTGACCCGATGGTGCATGGTCCTTTTGGGTTGCCTTCACCAAAGCAACTTGATAGGATGAATTATGGAGAGAAAGGATTAATTATGATTTATTAATATATTATATGAATAATATATTAAAGGAGAAATCATATTGTTTAATTAATATTAGTCAATAATTAATTAAGAATTAATTTTGTGGCTAAAAGAGATTAATTAAACTTAAGGGACTAGAACTGTCAATTGTGTGATAGTTGAATATTGGGCTAATGGACTCCATATTAAAGGAGTGTACGAATTCTATGGGGAAACCCATTAGAAATCGTCCAAGGCCTCTAAAGGAGGATTCCATGGGTTGCTTAGGGCCTAAGCAGTCAAATTAGGGTTTCCTTGTTAGATAACCCTAATAGCCTCACTATTTAAGCACCCCTAGGGCACCAAAAACGTGGGGATCTTATCCCTTAGGGTTTCTAGATGTTTTGGAGTGCCTCTCCTCTTCTCCTTCTTCATCCTCTTGCTCTTGGTGTTTGTGAGCCATTAGAGGAGTGACATTTGTGACTCTAAGCTTTTAGAAGCCTATTATTACAAGGAATAGATTCTTATTGCTACATAACAATCAAGGTAAGATCTAAACCCTATTCTTATGTTTATATTGATTATCACATGCTAGATCTAGGGTTTATGACTTTGGATGATTATTGCATGTTCATTAGACAAACTAGATCCAAAGCTTTAGGGTTTGCATGTACACCATAGGGATGTTGTAGTGCTCATAACCCATCAAAAATATCTAGGGCTTTTCAAACAACGATAAAAACACTCACTGATCATCACTCAATACACTCTCTACAATCGATCGTCGACTCGCCTTGCAGACAACGTCCCCTCCGACGACGTTAGGTTACTTCTCTTCTGGCTGACTTCGCCTCGCCGACGAGCTTGGGCTCTCATGCCATCGTTGAAGAGTGTTCAATTTTACTTGCCCTAGGTCCGATTAAGGTATTGGAGAAGTCGCTTGAGATTGGTGTTCCTGCTGAAACGATTCAGGAAAAGTCAACTTCCCCGGTTAGCCAGAGAACCAAGTAACAGAAGAGCAAGGGCAGAAGAAAGTCGACACAAGGAGAAGAAGCGCCTGGTATCCATGAAATCGATGATAAATTGAACACATTCATGGGTTTCTCACCTTCTGAAGCTTCTCAAGTTGAACACAAGGTAACATTTCAAGAAAACCAATGCTCTTAGTTGGGTTTTCTCCTCATGTATATGCTTGCACTGAGTTGGGTTTTCTCCTCCGATTGTCGATTATAGCTGCTCTTTTCATGGTTTCATCTTGTGTAAACTTCTATGGGAGGTGAATGAACTCAGTGTCTATAAAGTTCATCTCTTTGGCGAACACGCTCCACATCTCTTTCTTGTTCAGCATTGAGTTCTTTTAGTTGATTTAGGGTTTCTTTATTCTTCACAACAACCTGAAAAAAGTACAATATTACTATTATGATATTTTTGAAAATGGATATTCTTTATTTTTAATGAGCTCAAAGACTTACTTGTTCAGATCTTTGTACTTCTGCACTTGTTTCAACAAGAGCACGATGCAAAACAGGAAGTTGAGGATCATCTACAACCTTCTCTGTTTCTCTAGAAGTCATGCCTAAAATAGAAATGATAATAAAATAGAAATTAGAGTAAAAGACAGTTGAAATAATAATCAAATACTTCAAAATGTTATACCTTTTCATTGATAATCGAGTTTTATCCATGCAAGATGAAATAAAAAGAAAGGATATAGGAACACAGAATCATTTCAGCAATCTCTAATTCATCTAAGCTCTTCTCACTTACTAAAGCTTTGGTTCTCATGTTTGTGTAGCTTCTAGTAAGAAAGATGTTCCAGCTGCTACAGCCTCAAAGGGTGATAAAGCAACAGTTTATGCTATAAATTACACTGATATTCCACATACTCAGATAAGAAAAGGTATATATCTATCTATCTATCTATTTTTAAGGGTACATAAGTTTTTTATTTTCCATTTTCTATTGTGTCATATAAAGATGTGGGTCTTGGGTGCACATGTGGTATAAGAGAGAAACATTTTTTACTTTCTTGTCCTATTAAATATATATCTATCAAATGAATGGATGGAAATAGATAAGGGCAATTCAGTAAATAGATATGAAAAATATTATACTTGTGCTAATGGTGATATTCTTGGACACACACCACCTTCACGTTCCATGTGTGCTATAGTGCATGCAATTCTCAACTCTCTACATTAAAAAAGAACTCATCACAAGCAGAAGAAAACTATCATTTTGCAAGAAAAATAAAAAAATAAAATTAACTTTAGTGTTTCTCCACCAAAAATAGCTGCTAAAAACAAGCCATCAAGTTTCAATGCCAACCTACTCTGTCACACATATAGAGCAAGTAGCCAATTATCAGTACATTAGTTCTCGTAGCCTGCTATTGAGAAGGGCATAATCGTCTTTTCACATAAGTATCATTACATGTATCATTGCACCAGGAAGATCGTTTGTCAAGTGGAGTCCCAAGCAACTTATCACTAAATCAACGAAACTTTAACACCACAAATAACAATCCAAGTAAGTAAAAGTTATAAAACTAAAACTTATGATATATATATATATATATATATATATATATATATATATATATATATATATATATATATATATATATATATATACGCACACACACACACACACACATATCTAACATTTTTATAAAAAGTGAGGGAAACTCCCCACTCATACCCTCCGCTCTAATGAATTACTTATGTTCTAAAAAAAACTTATATTAAGATTTAGGCTATAATATCTTAAATTTATTAGCCCATACATCGCAATGCTCGGGCCCGGACCAACTGATCAAATAGAAAGTAAACCTTTATTTGTTAAGAATCAATAGCAGTCCAATTTCTCCAATATTTGGCCTCTATTGTATAATTAATTTCTTTAGGAACTTGTATTGCATTTTATTAATGGCTAATAAACAATGAGTATGAAAAGTATCATATCTTCATTAGATACTTCAAACTTGGTAATTATGAAGCTTTGTTAACTGTGTGGACATTAAATAAAATGTGCAAAATTAGATTGTTCAATATGCGAATGAAAGTAGTTAAAATGAAGTTTTGTAAGACTCAACCCAATGTAAAATGACTATTTTGCCCTTACTCTTAAATTTATAATTACTATATTGCAATATTAACTTTATATCATCAATCAAGACACATAACTTCATTTTAGAGATAAAAAAACATAAAAAAGACAGGGACGAAGTTGTAATTTTACCTCTTATTCCCTAAAGGAATATCTGCTTCCTGGATCAGTCTGATATGGAGATTTGGTTGAGACTAGGATCAGTCTTGTGAGACTTTGTATTTGGCTTAATAAAGCATCTTTAGCTTCTCTTTCTTGCTCCAACTGATGTAACTCCTCTTTTAAAGATCGAATTTGATTTTGATATGCCTTGATAAGGGATTTTTCATCATTGATCCGAAAATATAACGTTTTACTTTCAAAACTCTTGATTACAGATTTAACTCTCAAGTGAAAATAATTCAAATGCTCATAACCTTATTTTGTGATGCTTGAATTTCAATGTGTTTTGCATGATGTGCAAATTTTAATGTGTTGTGTGTCTCCTCTGAATTGCTTTAAGAGGGAGTAACAGTGCAAATAAGCTGAAATAATAAAAGATAAATAAATAAAATATATATGGGCATTAAATAATAAATATGAAAGTTGCATAAAAGACTTACAGATACCCTTCCATGACCACTTAAAGAAGACTGAAGAAGTCTGGTCAATTTTGAGTCTCTGTATGGTATATGAGCAGCCCTCCCATCTGATAGTTTTGATATAACCTGTGACAATTAATTTTTGTATATCACAAATTTTGTTTCCTTTTTTACCCTTGGAGACTATACTGATAAAATACTGAGAATGATTGAGGACTTACAGTTCCAAAAGTTAGCAGGCTTTTATTTATGTAGGCCCCTTCTTTTGTACGAATACCAGTAGTTTCAGCTTTAGAGCTCTTGGAGCCAACTAGATTTATGAGGTTCTGCAAAATGAGTCAAAATAACGATAATAGCCCCGGAAATATGTCTAAAATGAGGTTCAGGGGCATACCAGTTGCGACAAGTTGATAGCCTCACCTGGAAATATGTCTAAAATATGTCTAAAATGACGTTCAGGGGCATACCAGTCAAAATGACGATACTACCCTCTTTTTGGAAGATATGCAAGCTGGAAATATGTCTAAAATATGTCTAAAATGAGGTTCAAGTAACAAAAAGTCAAACCAAATCTTGAATTCAAAGATTGATTAATTTGACCATAAAAGTCAAAACATATATGAGAAGTGATCACTAGAACTTACTTCATGAATAATCAAAGCAAACGAGAAAACATCAACACTCTTGCCATAAGATTCTCGCCGATATACTTCAGGAGCCATATACTGATCTAAAAAAGAAGATCATGAAATCAATAAGATTTCATGAAACTTTATTATTGCTATTATTGTAACAAAAGTGGTAGATTTTCATACATGATCCAGTTCCTCCAGTCATTTTGTAACCATAAACATCTTTCTCCTGTGCAATTTTGCTCAACCCAAAGTCTGCCACTTTAAGACGCCCAGCTTCATCTTGCAATACATTTCTAAAATATGAAGAAATCATCATTTCATTTCGAAAGTCTAAAACTTGAAAAAAGAATCTTGACCCATTATTTGATTTTGATCTCCCTTGTTTTTCTTAACAACAATGAATGCATACAGTAGTACATATATACCTTGGGGTCAAATCCCTGTGTATTATAGCTTGAGGTTTATGGTGATGAGGATAATTCATACCCTTGCACAATGTAACTCAAGTTTTCATGTAAATTCTTCAATTATTGAAGAAAAATTAGATAATAACATTGAAGATGAAATGAAATACCTTGCAATATCACATAGACCTATCTGTTCACGTTAGTTAGTTTCACCACACAAGTTAACTTCTCTTCTTGGTTCACCCAGAACATTGATTTTTGCACACAGGTTAGCTTCTCTAAACAAAAGACTAAACTACCCCTAATAAAATGGTATGCTTTGAACCACTCACCTCCTTTGACTAAAAATCAGAATTAAACCCAACACCCACTCAATTTGTTTGCATATTTTGGTACTCCAAAGTCATGCTTTATCATAATAACATGCAATCCTGAACTACAATAAAAAGAAAATAGTGAATTATACTAATAACATGCTGAAAAAGTAATTTACTAAATAAATAAATAAATAAAAAATACTTGGATGCTGAAAAAGTAATTGATACCCTATACAGTTTTGTATTTGCACAGTTTTGGTCCCTGCATCAGTTTTATCCCTGTACAGTTTTGGTCCCTGCATCAGTTTTGTTCCTATACAGTTTTGGTCCCTGCATCAGTTTTGGCCCCTGTACAGTTTTGGCTTGTTAGTACTTTCTCATCCTTTTTTGCTTTAATTTGATCATTTATATCGATTAAATATGTTAAAAAGTCAGGAAAAAAACATAACAAATAATGGCCAATACAACCATGAAAAAACATTCTAAAAACACTACTAAATATTGATGTTATTTAATTATTATAACATAGTTACATAAGGACAAAAAATTTCATTTACTTGTTTTTGTCCCTATTTTCAAAACCCTGTCTCTGAATTTCATAGTTTTTGCATCAGCCTGTACATGTACAACAAATACAAATATAAAGTTTTATAAAGGCTATTGTATTTCTCATATAACCAAAAAATTACAAAAATACCCTTGACATGAAATGGGTTAGAATTGGAGTTACAAGAACCTGTGAGCTTCAAACAGTTTTTCATCCATTCCTTCATTAATGTAGTTCATTGCAAGAATCGATTCTGCAACAAATAGTCAACAAATAGTCAAAAAATTGTCCAACATCTCTGTAAAGAACCCCTAAGTTATTGTAAGCTTCTGCATACTATTCATGCTAGCAGCAACATCCATTTTACCCTAAAGTAATATGATTAAAATATAAAAACAATTAAAAAAAGAAGAATATCAAATATTGTTAGATACTGAGAGATTATATTTACCTGAACTGTGTAGACCACTCCAAGGTTGTTCAAAGACTGGGAGAAATTGGGCTTGATTGATAAAACCAACTTCAAGAGGATAAAAAAAGTATAATATATTAACATTAAACCAACATGTATTTGACATCTGATTGGCCCCTGAACAGTTTTTTTTGTCAAGATTGGCCCCTGTACAGTTTTGGCCCCTGTACAGTTTTTTTGTCCCTGTACAGTTTTGTTTTTGCACAGTTTTTGTCCCTATACATGCGTAATCATTGTTGCTTTAAATGATAAATAAGTATGTAGGTTGGAAACAAATGTTTAATGGATAAATCATGGATTTCCTCTAGTAGATTATCAAATGCATATGATGAAGGTGTGAATGCTTTTCTAGAGTTTGCACAAAGTAATAATCCAAAGTTAGATGTTATTCCATGCCCTTGTGTAAATTGCATCAATTTGTGTCACCACTCAATTAACAATGTCCGTTATCATTTGTTTACCCACGGCTTCGATGAAAATTATAAGATTTGGTCTTTCCATGGAGAAAAACAACCCAAGAGTGATTCTAGATGCCCTAACAATTTCATTCCTCCTGATGCTATTTATATAAAGGATATGCTACATGATGCCTTCAAATATGTAGACGAAGAACCTGATTCATTGAAATCACTTCTTGAAGAATGTGATAAGCCACTTTATGTAGGGTCAAAGTATAATGCACTTAGTGGATTATTGAAATTCCAACATTTGAAGGGTTAGTTTGGATGGTCTGATGCTAGTTTTGATGCTTTGTTGTCTGTCCTAAAAGATATCTTACCATCAAACAATACCATACCTAGCTCGATATATGAGTCCAAGAAGTTGCTAAAAGGAGTAGGTCTACAATATGAGAAGATTCATGCATGTGAAAATGATTTTGTTCTATTCTGGAAAGAACATAAAGATGCTTCTCAATGTCCAACTTGTGGCACTTCTCGTTGGAAGAAGAATACCAAAAACGTACCTTCAAAAGTTTTGTGGTATTTTCTTATCATCCTTAGATTTAGAAGAATGTTTTCAATACCACAAATTGCACATGACTTAACTTGGCATGCACAAGGTCGGGTCAATAATGGGAAGCTTACTCATCCTCGCGATACCCCTTCTTGGAAGCTTGTTGATAACACGTGGAAAGAATTCGGACAAGAAAAACGAAATCTTAGATTAGCCTTGTCTGCTGATGGTATCAATCCTCGCAAGTGATTAAGTTCCAAGCATAATTGTTGGCCGGTTATCCTAATAACATATAATCTACCCCCTTATTTGTGTATGTCAAGAAAATTCATGATGTTGACTTTGTTGATATCCGGGACAAACCAACCTGGTAACAATATTGATGTCTACTTGGCACCATTGATAGAAGATCTAAAACTCTTGTGGTAAACTGGCGTCGAGACTTTTGATTCTTATAAGAAAGAATACTTCAATCTAAGAGCAATATTACTTTGGACTATAAGTTACTTTCCCGCATATGGTAATCTTTCAGGGTGTGTTACCAAAGGTTATTATGGTTGTCCAATATGTTCAAAAAATACTTGTTCACAATGCTTGCCAAAGTCCAAAAAAGTATGCTTCCTTGGGCATAGAAGATTCCTACCACTTCAACATCCTTTTCGTAAAAAAAAACATTTCAACAATCAACATGAGTACGATTTTATGCCATAACCATCATCAGGTGAATATATTTATGACTATATGGCGGGATTTGAGACTACATGGGGTAAGAAGATAAAGTCAAAGAAGGTAGGATCAAAGAAGATAAAGTTAAAGAAGATAAATTCAAAGAAGGGAGCGTCAAAGAAGGAAACGCCAAAGAAGGAAAAGTCAAAGAAGAAAAACGAAAGTATCGACGAGAGATCTAAATTTTGGCATAAAAAGTCGATTTTTTTGAACTTGAATATTGGAAGAAGTTGCCTGTTCACCATCAGCTAGATCTCATGCACATAGAAAAAATGTGACCGAGAGTCTTTATGGGACAACGTTGAATTTGCCTCACAAGATGAAGGATGGATTAAAAGCACGACAAGATCTTGAAACGTTGGGCATTAAGACTGAATTACGACCTCAACCAAAAGGGGATCGACATTGGCTTCCGCCTGCCAAGTACACATTGAATTCCGCAGAGAAACATCTATTTTATGATACCTTGTCTAACATAAAAGTTCCTCATGGGTATTGCTCTAGTTTCAAGAATCTCATGTCGGATGATGTTTCAAAGATGAATGGTTTGAAGTCTAATGATTGTCATGTACTAATGCAACAACTTCTCCCTTTTGCAATCAAAGGGGTGTTAGATGTGAAGGTGCGAAGAACAATCCCCAAGCCTGTGTCGTTTTTTCAATGAGTTGTGTAGTAAAGTTGTTGATGTTAGTAAGTTAGGCAAGTTGCAAAGTGAGATCGTATTAACATTATGTTTGTTAGAGAAGTACTTTCCTCCTGTATTTTTCGATGTCATGACTCACTTGATGGTGCATTTAGTTAGAGAGGTGAGGTTGTGTGGCCCGGTTCATTTTAGGTGGATGTATCCATTTGAGAGATACATGAAAACACTTAAAGGGTATGTAAGAAATCATCATCGACCCGAGGGTTGCATTGCAGAGTGTTATGTGGCGGAGGAGGCCTTAGAATTTTGTTCAGACTACTTAAAAAACATGAAATCAATTGGAAATCCTCATGAACGTGTTGATGAAAGAATCCGCAGCGACAAGCCTTTATAAAAGGCTACAATCAATCTTGTAGATGCTTAGTTACTTGATCAAGCTCATCTTTATGTATTACGAAACACGACTGTTGTGGAACCGTATATAGAGTAACAATTACGTGAAACTGTATACTCTTATACCATTATCTATCATATAAAACATTCTTCTAACTTGTAATACACTTCAGGCAACATATGTTGGAATTGAAGGATCTCAACCCCCATCACGCTCGTAAGAGTACATGGTTGCAGAGCCAACATAGTCGGACATTTATTAGTTGGTTTAAGAAAGAGGTTTAATTTTAAAATAAGATTGTTAGAATTACAATATTTTTAATTATTTTTTTTGAATTACATTAATTAGATATTTTTCTAATAGGTTGGAAAACGTTTGGCTAACGGGGAAGATATTTGTGATGATGTTCGTTGGTTGGCCAAAGGGCCTAATTTTGCTGTTAGTAAATATAGCGGTTTTGCCATAAATGAGTATCATTTTCGTACAACATCTCGAGATGAGTCTAGAACAACTCAATGTAGTGGAGTATCTTTAGTTGCACATACTATGCAGATTGCTAGTGCAAAAGACTCCAATCCTATGTATGGTGTTGTTACTTACTTCGGTCGTATAAAGGAGATATGGGATCTTGATTACCGCATGTTTACTATTCCTGTATTCATGTGTGATTGGGTTGATAGTCGTGGAGTAAAAAATGATGATTTAGGATTCACGGTAGTTAACTTTGATAGGCTTGGTCAGAAGTCTGAATCCTTCGTATTAGCTAGTCAAGCCAAACAAGTTTTTTATGTTCAAGATCAACAAGATGAGAATTTGCATGTTGTTGGATTCACACCACATAGGATGTACAAGTATGGATCAAATGGTAAAACTAATGATATGTTGGAATTTGATGCTACTTTGATTTAACACAAGACTCCGCTTTATTAGACCTTGATGATGATTTTTTGTGTACGTGCCCGGATGGCGAGGGCATATTAGTTTAAATATTTTTTTGCAGAATAATAAAGTTTTTGGTATGTTTTTATTTCATATTTTGAATGTGATTAATTTTTTTCCAACTGCAACAAATAACAATGTACTTAATTTTATTTGAATCTTGTTGAAACAGGTTGTGTCTTTGTGACATGAAATCAGATTCAGCTTCTGATCACGATGAGGACTCCAAACAAAGAGGTCCGACAACAAAGGAAAAAGCTAATAAAGTGAAACTTGTAGTAACTTACAATAAAAAAAGGTGTCCCGGTTGGAAAGGAAGCCACAAAACTATCTACTTTTGAGGGTTTGGTTGCAAGAACAATGGTTCCCATAACCTATGAGTCTTGGTTGGAAGTTAGTGATGAAGTAAGGGAAGGGTTATGGCAATATGTTTTGGTAAGTCTCTCTTTCTTCCTGTTATTACCTTTGTTCAGATCTGTTTTTGTCCTTGTTTTTGTCCTTGGTTTTGAACCAAGTTATATTATCCACTGTTTCTGTTTTTGTACCTGTTTTTGTCCTTGTCCAGATATATTTTTGTCCATGTTCAGATCCGTTTTTGTCCCTGTTCATATCTGTTTTTGTCCCTGGTTATGGACAACCCCCTTTTTTATGTTTTAGGAAAAGTTTGTAGTTGACCCAAAGAGCCGGAAGCAAACTCTCCAATCGATCGGGAAGAAGTGGAGAAACTTCAAACATTATCTATATGCCAAGTTCATTAAGAACCGAAGTAAAGATCTCAAGGCAAATCTATTCAAACCTCTGAAAGATTATCCGTTTATAAAGAAAGAAGACTGGAAAGTTTTTGTATCCCATAGAGTTACAAAAAAGTGGGAGGTTTGTTAACTTTTCTTATATGCATTTGTATCCCATAGAATTACAAAAAAGTGGAAAGTTAAAAGTTTGTAGTTACAATTTTAATGTTTCTAATGCAGGAGAAAAGTACGAAAGCTAAAAATACCCGTGCACATCATAAATACAATCATCGTTTGAGCAGAAAAGGATATGTCGGACTCATTAATGACATTGTATGATTCCCACTAAGTATTGATTATTTTATTTGTATATATTTACGTTAATTGACTTTGTTATTCTTGATAATTTAGATGCAAGAAACCGGCAAGACGGAATAGGAGATTGATAGGACACTGTTGTGGAAAAAAGCAAGAGAGTTGAAGACAGGAGGATACGAATCAGGTGTCAAGATAATTGTTGATAAAATTGTAAGTTTCATTGAATGCCAAATATATAAAAAAATAACATTTGTCCCATTTTTTTTCTAACATTTGTCCCATTTTTTTTACAGGATGAGCTACAGAAATCGGGAAGCTTTGGAGAGGTTACATGTGGAACACATGATGTGCTTACAGAGGCCTTGGGTACTCAGGAACAACGTGGGCATGTACGAGGGATGGGTAAATTTATAACGCCACAACAATACTTTTATTTACCCAAGAATGTTAAGTATTACTTGGAGATTGAGAACGAGAGGGTGGATAAACGAATCAACAAAATTGAAGATGACTTGGAGAAACTAAAAAGAGGTGTACTTAATGTTTTTGAAGCCGCAAGTTGCCAAGTAGGGGGCGTCATTGAAGATGTTGAAAAAGAACCACGGGATGAATCACTTGTAAGTCCTTGAAGACAATTATGAACAATATATTTAAAGTATTTTCTTTTTCTACAAACTAACATATATACTATATTTTGGTAGGATAATTCATGTCTTCTTGCGGTTGAATTTGCTGCAAATGTAGTCGCTAAAGGAACCATAATGAAGTATAGTGCATCGGGTATTTGGAAAAATATTTGCATTATTACTATTTATATATTTTCATTTTTTAGACGATTAGATCTTAATTATTTTTTACGTATATGTAATAGATGAAAACATTCAAGTTATGATGGAAACAATTTTACAAGGAGAAGCTTTAATACTCATTCCACTTGAAGAGGAGTTCATTGTGAAGGTCAAAGATGCATTGGGACACATACTAAGTTGGCCAAGACACTTAGTTATTCGATGCTCTGACCTGGTAATTTTCATAGATTTAAAACTTACAAAGTTTTCACAGATTTGCCCTTGGTTTTCTTATTTTTTGAGTTCTTTTTCAGCTTCAGTAAATGATTCCTGTTTCATTCTGTATTTTTGATAATTTTTGTAGGGAAAAGTGGTGGCGAAACCTATGAAAAAACATGCAACACCAGTGAAGAAAGATGCAACACCAGTGAATGAAGGTACAACACCTTTAAAAGAAGAAATAGGAAGTAATAAGAAAGAAAAAGGGACAGGAAAAATGGTTGATGGACAAAAAGAACCATGTGACGTGGAAGAAGGGGATGATATGGAAGAAGGGAATGGAATAGAAAAGAAGATTAAAAAGAAGGAGAAACAAAATGTAACTTTGCAATGAAGGTGGACCAGAGCACAAATGAAGACAAGGATAAGGATTGAGAAGAGTAGTATTTTGAAAATGACTGCAATGATGGCTGATGGACAAGTTACAAAGGTTGATTCTATAAAAGTGTAGAGTGAGAACGATCTTTTTGGGTACGATAGTTACACGTACTTAACTTGGGATGATTTTGAAGCGGTTCTTACAATGGATGAGCTGACTGGTGCTGTCATTATGTCTTATATGATGTAAGTGCAAGAAATTTAATTTAAATAACATTGTGTCTTAAAACAAAATTTGTTTAATGAATTTAGTGTTTGTATGATAACATGGTGTTGTTTAACAAAATGAAGTATGGCCCCCCAGAAAGAGATCATGGAATTTGCTTTGTGAACCCGACATTGATCTCGCCAAGTACGCGTAAAGGGAAATCTAAGAATATTGACGATGCAAGCAGAGGTTTAGCAGATCGGTTGTCTAGTAGAAAGGGCAATGGCATCATCTTTATGCCCTACAATCCCGGGTTTGATTTTGACATTTTATTTTGAAAATAACTGCAATTATGTTATTTGACTTAATTTTGTTTGTGGTTTTTGTAGAAGACATTGATTATTGGGTGTACTAGACATGAAATCGGATACTTGTTATTATCTTGATTCCTTGAGTTCTGGCAATTTCAATATGCAGTTGAAGCAAATTGTTGATTCGTAAGTAACATAAATTATCAAAGCATTTGATGTGAATACAATAAACACCTATTTGGAGCATAAGATCCAATGTTGTAGATGAATCGTTTTCAAACTCTTATTATCTTTAAAAATGACTTTGAGACGACCCCAATGCATCCTATTGAGAAGCGACATGTTACGAGATTGTGTGGAGATCGGTTGATATGGTATCGTATATCCATTATAACACAATTGCATCAAATGTTGTCATAGGGCATTATACCGACACATATCTTGAAGTATAATACATACCAACACTTGGTATGTCAGGGCATGGAGGCGGAAAGATTCTCTAAGATACATATTGGACTTTATCTCAATCTCTAGAGCGATTAGAATGAAGGTCCGGAGGTTGGACACATATAAAATGAGATGAAACGAATAATGTTTAGAGGCAGATGTGTCATTGACTCGATGGCCATGTTAGTCGAGGCATCACATGTGTTGTTTGCAGTGTAGGCGATAGAAGGGTAAAGAAAAAAAATTAGAACAAAAAAAGCTAAGGGAAGAGGTTGGATTAGGGGTGAGCATGATGCGGTTTGGTGCGATTTTAGGCCCAAACCAAACCGCAAACCGCAAGGTGCGGTTTTTGAATTCTAGAAACCGTTGGGTGCGGTTTTTCAATGGTTCGGTTTTGCGGTTTTTGAGTGCGGTTTCGGTTTGTACCGGTTCAGTGTCGGTTTTAAACCGAGTCAAAGATATGGAGCGACTTTTTATGTTCATCGGTACGATTTTTTTAACCGTGGTGTTCATGTGAAGATTTATGATTGTATCACATGTTGTTATTTCGTTTCTTCACATTTAGAAGCTGTAATTTTGAGTTTTTTTATGTTGTTTACTTGATCACTTCATTTGCAACCCATATTCCCAAACTCATTTATTTATTCAATTTGTGCTTAGAAGTTACAAGCTTGCAAGTTGTAGCCCACATAGTATTTATACTTTACACATAATCATTAAGTCATAAACACAAAGTGAAAAACTCACATAGTAAACCTAATAGCTAATTACTAATTACCGTCAAATTCAATATATAATATATGTATAAATTAGAATTTATTAGTTTTTTAAATAATATGTATAATTGTATAATATAAATTAGTGATTTATTTTATTGTTAATAAACTTGCGGTGCTGTTTGGTTTTGGTGGTCTGGTTTCAAGATAAAAAATCGCACCGCACCAATAAATTCGGTTTTTCAAAAAAATAAAATCCGCACCATCGGTTTTTGCGTCGGTTTCGGTTTTCCGGTTACGGTTTATTGCGGTTTTTCTTTTATCGGTTCGGTTTTTGCTCACCCCTAGGTTGGATGAATATTTGGGGTTTCTTTGAAACCATATTAGGTTCAAACAAATCTCCATTCTTATACAATGATTGAAACATATAACACAAATATATAGAGTATACAAACAAATCTCGATTCTTATATAATGATTGAAACAAAATCTAGTTCAAATTAATATAAAGGTCATCTCATTGTCTAATAAATCGTCGTTATTAAAAAGCTTACCAAGCTATAAAATCGAGCTTAAGTTTATAGTTTAAAAGTCGTAGGTAAAGTCAATCACGAACTTGTTCGAACTCGTTTATAACACCAGTTTCTAATCTAAAAGCAGGCTTTTTCATCAAAAAACAATTCACATAAAAGAAAAAAAAAACTACCACACTTTTTTATTTAGGCAAGACAAGAAAAGAAAATTTCTGAGTTGCCTTAAAAGCTAAAACCATGATGTACAGGTTGGAACCAAAGAAGCCCCATATGTTTTCTTTCTTTGAGATCAATATAATAATACCAAGAACGTGGCAAAACTTTAACTTTACCCTCGATTCCTCAAATTCTCCTTCTCTCTCCTCCATTACACAAAGACCCAACTCCATTTTCTTCCCCCTTTTCTCTGTATTCTCCTCCACCACAATTTTGGAAGAGAGAGCTCACTCCCTTCTTCCTTCCCTCCATTATATATCTCCCACTTCAACTATTCAGAACTGTAAGTCGATTGTTGATTAAGGGCTGAACAGAAACCCTAAAGTTCTGATCTTTGCAGACCTTCAGGTTCGTTTTTTTATGGTTACTTTTCTTTTTTACTTTTCATAAATGCTCATCTGATTGTTAATGCAAGTGGGTTTTGCTTTTCATGTGTTCTTGGTTGGTTTTTGGATTAGGGTTCTTTGGTAAAGATTTTAATGGAAGAGAGGTGGGTCTATTTTCAAGATCTGTCTGCTTTTCATATACCCTTTTACTTTTTACCTTTTTTTTTCTTCATGGGTCTCTTCTTATCTTGTCGTAGACTTTGATTGCTATGTGCAAGATGTTGATTTCATCACATCGTTTTCGAAATCCAGTTATTGGTTTCTTGATAAATTAATTGGTTTCAGAGACACCAATGAAAGCTTACTCTTGTATTTGAGGTAAAATTTCTAATTTGAGTTTGTAGAATAACATAAAGCTTGATCTCAGATATAGTGATTTCGGTGTGCAAATCATTTCTACAGTTTTTACTGCCCTATTTTTTTTTTTTTTCCATTAATAATAGTTTCTCGAACTTGTAACTGGGTTTTATTAATATTTTGTAACTTTCCAGATTTGTTTGTTGATATCGATTTTGGTGTGTGATCTGTTGCCTAAATTTCACTGGCATAATCTTGAATTTCATTTGTAGTTCCTTAAGCTTGTAATGGGATTTTCTGATTTTGGTGTGATCTGGGTTTTCTTAATATTTTGTAACTTTCCTGATTTGTTTATGATTTTGTAACTTTGTTGATTTGTTTCTCGATAGTGATGCCCTAGTTTGATTTCCAATTGTATTTTCTTGATTTTTCGTGTGCAAATTGTTTCTATGATATCCATTAGTAGTTTGTTGAAGTTAAAAATGAAATTTCTTGATTTGTTTGCGAATTTGCAACTTTCTTCCATGAACATCAAGTTTTAGTTAAAGCTTGTTTTGAATGGTTATTACAATTACTTTTCTGTGCAGGCTTTCCTGAGTCGGAGATGCTACTCTGGTTTTGAGTTTTGATTGATCAAAAGAAATTTGCAGTTTCTTAAATGGATTCGAGATCTATTACCAAAATAGTTGGCAGTAAACTAATGGTAGAAAGCACATGTGACGATGATGCCACAAAAACTAGCAACTTAGAGCCTGCAACTCCAACAAAATCAACCGAAAAAATGGAAATAGAGTCTAAAAAGTCAAACCAGAAATCTTTAGGTGATAAAATAGACACTGAAGATACATTCGATCCAGAAAAGAGTTTATCAGGTCAAGGAACTTCAAAAAACAGCTCGGTATCTGGTAAATTAAGTGATGGAGTTAGCAGTATTACAATAACAAGTGGGAGTAGTAAAATGAATGAAAGGATGGATCTTGTTGAGAGTGGTAAGAGCAGTATGTGTAGAGGAAGCACAAGCACCGATGTAAGTGATGAAAGCAGTTGTAGCGGTTTAAGCAGCAGTGTGAGCAAACCGCATAAATCAAACGATTCAAGATGGGAAGCGATCCAGGCCGTTAGATCAAAAGACGGGGTTTTGGGTCTGAGCCATTTTAGATTGTTGAAGAGATTGGGGTGTGGTGATATTGGCAGTGTTTATCTGTCTGAACTTAGTGGTACTAAATCTTATTTTGCCATGAAGGTTATGGATAAAGTGTCCCTTGAAAGCCGTAAGAAATTGTTACGCGCACAGACAGAAAGGGAGATTCTACAGTCTCTGGATCATCCCTTTCTTCCAACTCTGTATACTCATTTTGAGACCGATAAATTCTCTTGTCTTGTTATGGAGTTTTGTCCAGGTGGCGATTTGCACACTCTGAGACAAAGGCAACCCGGGAAGCGATTTTGTGAACAAGCTGTAAAGTATGTTGTAATATGTCTTTTATTTTTTCTTCTGATTCTACGATTGTTTGGTGTTGAGATTATAAAATTTTTATTGTAGGTTTTATGTTGCGGAAATACTCCTTGCTATGGAGTACCTACACATGCTGGGGATAATCTACCGGGACTTGAAGCCGGAAAATGTTCTGGTCAGGGAAGACGGACACATAATGCTTTCCGATTTTGACCTTTCCCTTCGATGCTCCGTGAGCCCGACACTTGTCAAATCGGCGTCTTTAGACAACGAACCCCTTCGAAGGAACTCCGGTTATTGTGTTCAACCCGCATGTATCGAGCCCACTTCTTGTATCCAACCCTCCTGTGTGGTCCCCACGTCGTGTTTCTCGCCTAGACTTTTTATGAGCAAGTCCAAGAAGAAATCATCAAAGGCCAAACCGGAGATCAGACACCAAGTGACACCGTTACCGGAGCTGATGGCGGAGCCCACGGGGGCCCGGTCAATGTCGTTTGTGGGGACCCACGAGTATTTGGCTCCCGAGATCATAAAGAACGAAGGGCATGGGAGTGCGGTTGACTGGTGGACACTCGGGATCTTCTTGTACGAGCTTCTGTTTGGGAAGACCCCGTTTAAAGGGTCTGGGAACCGAGCCACATTGATGAACGTGGTGGGTCAGCCGTTGAGGTTTCCGGAGTCACCCGTGGTTAGTTTTTCGGCTCGGGATTTAATCAGAGGTTTGTTGGTGAAAGAACCACAACACAGATTGGCTTATAAAAGAGGAGCCACGGAGATCAAACAACATCCCTTCTTTGAAGGTGTTAATTGGGCCTTGATTCGATGTGCCAGTCCGCCGGAGATTCCCAGACCGGTTGAGATTCCTTCGCCGCCGGTGGTCGTGAATTCCGCCGAGAAAAAGGCTGCCACCAATACCATTGCGGTTGCACCCGAGAAAAAGGGGTCGGATAATTATCTTGAGTTTGATTTCTTTTGATGTTTTTTTTTTTTTTTTTTTTTTTGATGGGATTGGGAAGATAAGAGTTCCCGGAGCTCTGAAGTAAGTGAGGCCGTTGAGTAGTCGGCCATTGTTTGATTGATGTTTATTCGGTGTATCAATGTGAACAACAAAGAACAAACAGTTGCAATTCTGTTTTATTGAAAAAAAAGACGATATTTTTGTGACTAGTGTTACTGTTAGTGTTGTTGGTATATCAACTCAAGAAATAATAATATATACATGTTATAGATAGATACACTGATACACTATCACTATGGTAGTCCCTCGGGTATTGCATCCTAACAGAGTCGCTCATCCTTTTCTCAATTATTTTGATTTTATTTGTGGAATTAGATTCTTTTTGGTAATCTTATCACGCCATGCCTTGGTGTTTGATTTTGACTGAATAAAAATTCGGCCTAGACTTTTTCTTTCTGACGAAAATAGTGTCAGCTTACACCTAAAGTTGACTCTATTTTGTTATATTTTATCTGCATTAGGTTTAATTGGTAATCTGAAAACTTATTATACAATACCTTCAAATGAGTTGATTATAATATTTCATAGAAGCTGGTTTATTTATTAGTAATTTAGGTTTCTAAGACTTACTTATTAATTATTTATAAAAAATAAAAAATTAAATATTTTCATTCGTTACTGAAATTGTCTACCTCTACCTATCCGTTTTTTCATCTCTATGTTAATTTATGGTGAGATGGATTAGATTTAATTTTGAGATTGGTGTAGTTGGCACTTTGTAGATTGTGACGTGTGGATTGGAAATGATGCTACTTGATTTTATGAAAAACTACAAGAATTATTGTCTTTAGTTATCCAATATGTCGGCCTTGAGATCCAATCCAACCATCAAATACTTTTTGTACTTTTTTATTTAATTATATTTTATCAACAATACTTATCTTTGCTAGTTAACTAAACTGTTGTATCCTTTGAAATTAAAAAATAAAAATCACTAAAATTAACCGAATTAATGATTTTATGTAATTTTTTATTTGACTGTAACGAAATTATAAATGAGTTTAAAATTTCATATTATACTACTTTAATTCTCTTTTTTATGTTTTAACAAACACATAGATTTATTTGCAATCAGAAACTATATAAGTGCAATATTCATAAAGTTCGTTCGCGCATTTTATATTATAGAAAAACAACTCTCCCTTCCCTTGTGATTTGTGAATTGTGAATATGGTTTAAAAACTTAAAATCATCAGTTTGACTATGCTTAATGGTATTGGCTTCGGCCGAAAAAGACCCAATCATACTAGACCCTATTAAATGTTGATGCTTTTACGAATTACGACATTTAGTTTTAGTGTTCAATTTGAATTGCTTAAGTCCATATTACAACCGAGCTATTTGGCCTTAATCTTATGTATATATTTTTTTCTTTTATATAATATATAGCATGATGAAAAATAATTAATATTTCAGTTTTCATGAATTTAATTCCAATAGGTTACAAACTCACATAACATAATTGCAACTGTTACATTTTTATTTATTTATTTATTTATTTTAAATATAGATGATAACCTACAAATAACGATACGACGCATCAATACCTCTCCATTTTACAGTATTTGGAAAGTAATTCATATTGAAGATTTTTTTTTTTGTGTGTGGGGAAGAAGTAGTATACATATATTTATGGAGCCATCCTCAGCACTAGCGGCGGTGTTTACAGGGGTTTTTGGTCAAATTGGGTTGTGTTTCTGTTGTCGCCGTTTCCGTAACTTTATAAGACGGCTTATTGATTGCCTACGTCATCCACATCCTCCACCTCAACGACCGGTTTCTGCTAATGAAATCTTGCATACCATTAAAGAGAGATATCAATCTTGATTTGCTAGTTCCTATCTCTTAACTATATATTTTAGTGATTCCAACAAGCATTTTGATGTGTAGATGTCTAGTCATATGACTTGCCTATAAGCGATGTAAGCGGGTGTCACAAATTATCAAATAATAAAATGATATACAGGTTCAACGTAATTAAGCCGATGTCTTATGTATGTTACAAAGAGCATGGTCATATATAGGACGTTTGTATGAAAAAAAAAACTATATATTATACCTGCTATACATGTGTTGAGGCTAGTTTATGTGGTATGAATTCATGATTAATATTTAATTGTGGCCTTTCTAACCACGTACAAATTTCCCTTGAAATCTTTAATAAATAGATATTAAGGATGCGGTTTGTTTGTAGAAATTTTTTAGTTTTCACAAAACCTTTATAAGATAAATAAAAAGATAAAAAAAACAAGTTTGATTGGATATTTTCTCCATAATTTTTCAAAAAAGAAAAAAAAAGAAAAAAGAAAAAGAGAAAAGAAAAAACAATTCATTTTTTTTTTCTAAATTATATATTACTTGAAAATTTGATATTGTTGTTTCCAGTACTTTTTCATTTTTTTTTTCAATATATATATATATATATATATATATATATATATATATATATATATATATATATATATATATATCCGATCTGTTGGTTTCCATACCCAGGGCAAGATAAAGAAATGATGCCCATACATTCATATGTTTGTACGGAACAATGCAACAAATATGTATATAACTAATATTTTATAAAACAAAAATGCAGTAAATTTTTTAATTAATTAAACTAGAGTACAACTATATATTTATACCCTTCTGTAACGATCCAAATTTTTTTCAAGGAAATTTTTCATTTTAAATTGATAAAACATATTGCATAATCATGAAATCCCAACATATTTGTTTTTAAGTCAATATTCATTACAACTTCATTTGAAATTTTGAATCATCAGAGTGTCCCAAAAACATATAAATGAAAGAGAGATTGAGTGCACGCCGCGCCATCACGCCTTGCCCTTGCCCTTGGACTCAGATGTACCTGAAACAAATCCACAAACGGTAAGCTTGAAAGCTTAGTGAGTTCCCCAGAGCATAACCACACACAATCACATATAACGTAACGTACTAGCTAAACAGCTATACAAATCACATAAGCCATGCATACAACATATAGGGATGCCGTGGGCTCGTCCCCAAGGTCTTACTCCAGGATGCCTTGGGCTCCCCACATGGTCTTACACCTAAGTGCCATGGGCTCTCCCATGGTCTTTGATAGGAAAGCCATGGGCTCTCCACATGGTCTTACATCCAAGTGCCATAGGCTCCCC